ACTTTTTCACATAGGAACAAAAGATGATTACTATATATGAAAGTCTCTGAAGATCAATGACAATTAAGGTCTGGAAATCAGCACACAAAGTAATGACTCCTCTTGGAATCTTTTTCTAGGCCACTGGACTTAATTAGATCCTCCTGTACTTTACTATTAAGCTATTTGTAACAATCTGTTGAATAGCTCCCTTCCCTCTTAGGGCTTATGCTCTGTGATCTACACACCCCAGAACCTAGCCAAATGACAGGTACATAGTAGGGAACTCATACTTATTTGTTGATTGATTGACCAGTGTAAGACTAACTGCTTGATATTTCAGGGCTTTAGTTTTTTTCATCTATAAAATTTGGGGGATAAACTAGATCATCCCTGAATCCTTAGCAGATGGAACTAATTTGTACTGTAATTTGTGAAGTGTACTGATGTCAGCGACTTACAATGAAATGCATCACAGACACAAGATAGATTGTTGGCTCATGGAGGGATGGATAGATGTGGGCAGGATAAAGCATAATAAAATGTTAACTGTAGAATAAGGCAGTGAGTACGAGGATGTTCATTGTACGCTTACTTGAACTGTGTACCTTCAAATTTTCATAATGAAAATGTTGGGGAAAGCATGTGGGGTTCAGAGCAGCCTAAAACATGGAGTGTGGCAGAGAAAGAGGCTGAAGGAAATAATTCAATATAAATATCATTCACAAGCACTCGAGATTGCGAATAGAACAAAGAGACGAAGTAGACACATACATTTTAATAAAATCATGTGAGCTTACAAAAACTCTATGTCAGTAGAAGAGGCAGTAAGTGAACTGTAATTGTTTACAGGAGAGAGAACAGCTATGGTGGGCAAAGCTGCTTCATGGAGCGGGTGATATTTCAGATGAGTCTTGAAAGACAGGCCTGATTTAGATGGGTAATGAGGATAAGAAAAGGAATGTTTAAGAGACTGAGGAAAGCTAAAAATGACAAAGTGAACCTATGTGTGCAGCAAGAAGGCTTGAAAGCAAAGACAGTGAATTTTCCATCAGCTTAGTAGCAACTAAAAAGGCAAGGCTAAGCTGAAAAGCAATGACTATGATAAATAAAATTTCTCTGTGTGAGGCATATGCACACAGTGCTTTCCAAGCATTAGCTCATCATTCCTCACAAGCACTGTATGTGGTATCACAGCTACCAGTTACTGGTGACGGGAAGAGGTTGAGAGAAGTTTGGTCACTTGCCCAAGGCCACATGGCTGACAAGTGGTAGTATCAGGACTGAAATCAGTTTGACCCCAAAATCCAACCCTCTAATCACTAGACATACTGCCTCCCTGGTAAATTGAGGCTGGACTCTCAAGGCCTTAAATACCAAGATAAGGAGTTTTGGTCTCCAGTCTCTAAGACAGGAGATCCACTAGGAGATTCTGATGCTCGGAGTTTTATGAAGCTGTGTTCCTTGCAGAAACAGGGAAGAGACTGAAGCCGTGGAGCCTAATTAGGAGGCTGTCATAATAAGAAGTGTAAAAAAAGGCCCTTTTCCAGAATAATATCTAGAGGGACAGAATAAAGAATTAGTTTTTAAGAAAAAATAATCTACTGACCTCTTCCTATTAACATTTGATTGAAACATAATGGGGAATTCACTATTTTGGTAATATTCAAACCAAAAGTGCTTTTAGACTCCAAAAGTTAAGTTGTTAGCCCAGTGAAACTCTCACAGCAAATGAGCAATCCAAACGTCACTTCAGCCCACTGGCCAAACCACTCAGGTCTCGGGCTGTTGAGGGTCTTCAGAGTATTGGTGGGAGGGCTGGACTGAGCTGCCCGTGGGGCTCCCCTGGGCCTAGGCTGGCCATTATCTGTGCTCACTGATGAGCTCCAGATTGGCAAGAGTGCCAACCTGCCTCATCCCGTCATTAACCAACAGAGTTAATTCATCTCCCCTCCCTAAGAACTGCATCTTCAACTGCTAGGGTTTGTCACTGAGCTGAACCTGGCCTACTGGAAAGGCTGTGGCTTCCAGCTGAGAGTGGCCCTGAGGTGTTAGCTGAAGGGTGGAAATTCCCAACAAAAGAGATGAATGTGGATACGGGGCGGGGGGGGGGGGGGGGGGGGTGGCTGAAAATGAGCAGAGGGGCCAGGACTCCTTGGGGAGCACGCATTTCCCTGTGGGGTGGGTTCCCTGAAACAGCCCTCCTCTTGCTCAGGTTACTTCCTTGATAAAAGTGACAGAGGATGGATGAAACTTGAAAATACAGGCCCGTGGACAAGCACTTGTGTGTGTGTGTGTGTGTGTGTGTGTGTGTGTGTGTGTGTGTAGGGGGGTTATAGACAGAAAGAAAGATCTAAAAGAATGAAAGGGTGTTGAATAAGAGAGTGTAAATCAGAGAGAATGAAAAACTGTGTTCTTTTCCCACGTGTTTATAATCAATAGGCTTTTAAGCCCTAGGAGACCTGTAGAGGAACAGCACCATCCAAGTGTGAGCCCAAAGCTCAGACACTTGGCAGTCGCCACCAGTGAGGAATAATTCACAATCTTAAGAGGTTATTGTGAGGAGCCAACAAAATGACAGATGAATTAGATGAACTTGTAAACTGTGAAGTGCCTCTGAATTGCAATGTGCTATATAAACTGCAAAAGAAGAACGTAAGGGATAATTATTCGTTGAGGAGGAAAACACTATTTTGAATGAAACCCATGACTTGAGAATTAAGAATGAGCTGATTTTTGAAGCAAACAGTAGACTTTCCTGCTGACATGCATCGTCCCTCTTTGAAAATCAATAACCTTGATGAAGCTTGACACTGATTTCAAAGGAAACAATTCAAAATACAGGTGACTTGATTCTGGGATTAATCGCCTTCGGAACTAGTTGATGGGGCACAGATAAAAAACAATAGTTACGCTGTGTTTCAACCCTTAACTACTGTCCAGCTGAACCATAGGAGATGACTCCAAATGAAATTTAAGTGACTTAAAAAAATCAAAATTCACTCCCTAAACATGACTCATCTTTTTTGTGTAATGAACCTACGAAACACTCATGTGCACAAAACTGTTTACAAGGGAGTCTTGAGATTCCAGGTAAAGAATCCCTGTTCTTCAAGAGTTACAGAAATGCACATTGAGGGTGACAGATCTGGGGGCAATTACTTTCTGAACCTAAGTGGCAGGCTGGTTGGAGCAGATGCTGAGTCTCCCAAAGGAATTGTCAGAGGAAACAACATCGCTGTAGGACTGAATGGTCCATTTGAGTCATATGGGGTTTGTGCTAAAATTCCTACAGTGACAGTGGTTTTGGGGGTTTGTATGTGTGCAAGCAGGTGTGTGGTGTGTGCATGTGTATACACATGTGCATGGGTGCAGTGTGCACGTGTGTGAGTGCTTGTGCGTGCAGACATTCGTCACTGGTGGGGTGCTGGCAGTGACACTGTTTCCCCAGATGCCTACCCTCCTCAACCAACTTAACCTAAGAGTCACAGTCCTAGGAAAAGGCATCAGAGGAGCTGAATTTGCCACAGAGGCCCACCTGGTTGCAGATGAAGGCAGGTTTGATGGGTTTACCTGCTCCTGGAGGCATCCTGGGGAGGGGGCTTGGGGGTTATGCTGGTGTTCTGAGACAGAGAGGATTTCTCGTGATTCTCTCACAGGCCAAACACTGTTAAGAACAGATTTTAGATGAATTAGCTCACTTAATTTTCAACTTCCTGAGAAAGGCACCATTGCTCTCATTTCATAGATGAGAAAATCGAGACACAGGAAAGCTAACTTATAATCAAAGTCAGTTCACTGATAATTAGCAGAGCTGGGACTTAGACACATATTTGATTTCTAAGCTCAGGCCCTTCCCATTGCCCAGCACCAGAGCTTCCCAGTTCTCCTTGCCTCTGTGCAAAGTTCTGTGAGCCTTTCCCTGCTCAGAGCATCTCTGAAAATGAGACCCAGTCATTGATCGCATGGGGGACATGGTCCCTCGTGGCCCAGCAGACCCCTAAGAAGAGACTCCTTTGCTCCTACTAACTTCCTTCATGACCTTGGTGAGCTCCTCGAGATGCTTGGGCCTTGGTCTTCCCTCTGAGCAGTGAGGGGCTAGAACTAGTAGAAACTTGCAGCTGCACAGCTCAGGGGCTGGGTCCCGTGTGCTCACCCATTCCCCACGGCTGGCAAGCCTTCCACCTTGTGGCCGCTCCCAGCTCGCCCCGAGGGCTCTCCACTCCCTCCGCAATGCTGCCTCCTGTCCTTCTCCAGTCTCCTTCCATATCTTATCTGAACTTATCTGGATTCCTCAAATATTTTTATTTCTTTGACTTCTATATAGCCTTCCGATTTAGGAATAAGCCACTATATATGCTTTCATTCCCCATGAGACATTTTTCACAAGTGGTGCTGAGATTAGTATTCTTTTGCTTGCCTCCTTGGGTACATGTGCAAGAGATTCTCTAAAGTTAATGTCTGGGATGGAATTGCTGAGTCATAACACAGCTTGTGCATTACAGATTGCCAAACTGTTCCCGGAAGTGGCACTACCAGCAATGTGCCACAGTCCTGTGTCCATGCCCTCACCAGTACCATCAAGCTTGACTACCCCCCAAACTAACATTTTGATTACATTTGTCTTAAGGTACTTACTACTTTCTCCTTTGTAATTACATACCTGCTCCCTCCCCTAGTGGGTTGTAAACTGCAGGACAGAATTCCTGCTGATATTCCTCCCACCTTTAAGTTTATTGCGCTTAAAAAGTACATAATAGAGGGCCTCCCCGGTGGTGCAGCGGTTGAGCACTGGGCTGCGAGGCTGGTTCAATCCCCAGCTGCAGGTGAAGTCCCTCATGGCATGCAGACCTCTCCTGCTGCTCCCGCTGCTCCCCTCAGCAGTGTACTTCGGTTCTTCTGCCTGCTCTGCTCCCCGCTCTGGCTCTGGTGAATTCTCTCACCCTCCCGCGCTTCTGACTGTACCTAGTGCTTGTATAAATAAATAAATAAATCTTTAAAAAAAAAATACACAATAGAGTTATGAACTAATGAGTGGGCAGAAGACTTCTTGACCCACAGAGATGGGGAGTTCCATGAGGGCAGGGACGAGATCAAGCTCTGCTCATCTGGGATGAAGATATGGGTAAGAACAACCCCCACAGCCACTGCAGAGATGACCACACAGTGGTCACAGTTGGCCCATAGACTGAAAATCTCCCCACCTTCTGTGGACTGTCGCCCACCTTTGGAGACCCCCAGCTTTAGATCACTTTTCACCATGGTATTCACTAAACTTTCACTGATTGTTATGAGTGGCAAATTTCCCAGTCTCTGGGATCATCTTTATTACATACCAAGAGCGCTGCTTCTGGGAGAACTTGCCCACCACTGCTCCGCCCCACTGCCAACGGCTGGACGGAGTCCATGTGTCCTTCGGACTAGGCAGACATGACCATGGTAAATGCCTCCCCATTTTGTCACCCCAGCAGTTCCGGGCTGACTCATTTTCTAAATAAGTTGCTTGTGGGTTTTGGTCTGACATCACATGTGGGAGAATGAGTAATTTTTTAAGAACCAGAATTACATGCAATCAGAATAAGACACTGTGTATGTCACTCACGGTTGTAGGGTAAGGGGTCAGGAGCAGGTAATGAGCTCTCTCACTGCCTCCCACCCTCCTTTTCCTGGGGCCAAAGGAGAGAGTGAGAAGAGGAAGGAAGGAGGGGGATATGGGTGTGTGGGAAGTTCTGTGTGTATTTAGTTATCACACTACTTGCAGTTTTATGAAACTCTGTTGTCTCTGCTAAATTTAATAGAAGTGCCTAGCAAAGTAGTTGGGATGAAGAGTTCTGCTACACAGCTTGGGGTCAAATCCTGGCCCACAACATCCCATCTGGGTGACCCTGAGGGAGCTACTTTATCTTGAAGTGCCTGCCCATCTTCACATGTCAAACAATTATGGTCTCTGTTATACGGCCCTGTGGTCAGGAACAAGTGAATGGCTGCGTGTTAAGAGTTTAGAATTGTGCTTGCAGCTCAGCAGACACCATGAACATGTGAGGAAATATTTTCCTGGATGTATCACCATATTTATACTCACAGAAAATGTTTAATAGATGCCTTTTTTTTTTTTTAATGAAGTGGATGCATCCTATTAAAACATTTGAAATCAGGGGGGATAGAAAAGACCACTAGTTACAGATTCTTGGAAATACATAAAGATCATTTACCTTGAGCATAGGTAGTACAATCCTGTAGCTTGGCCTGGCTTGTCAGTAGTTTATTCCCTAGTTATGGTGGAGTGGGGGATCCACCTCATACCACACCCCCATAGGTGTCACTGTTTTTCAAGTGTTAAGAAGGTATAGTTCTAGATCTATAGATCCTTAGACCCTGAAAATGTGGGTTGAGTTAGAAAGAACCTGGCACCAGAGAAATCCATTCCCCAACCTTGGTATCTGTGGCTTGTGAGGCGAGGGGACAAGACCACGGCATTTGGGTGTGTTGCTTTTTTGAGTTAGTAGGATGGGAACCCTGCGGAGGAAAATATGTGGACAGAATATAGCTGTATTGACTGCTTTTTTATCAGTGTGTAATATTTATCTTCATGGCATTTTTTGGTCTTTGGAAACAAAGTCTTGAGTACCAGAGAGCCACGAAGAAGCCAAAGTGAAGTGCCCGGAGCCCACCTGGACAGCAGATCAGGACGCTGGGGCTGGCTGGTGGACCCTGCTCACTGGTCCACTGTGTGGGCTTCTTTTGGGAACGCTGCAGGCCAGACAAGTGGGTCTGACTTGGCTGTCACAGAAGCCGAGGAGCTGGGCTTATTGGAAAGGCTACACGTTCAGGTAGAAACGCTGTTACTGAAGGAAGTCAGCTGTCCTGGAGGAAACAGAGTCGTGGAGTGGAGTCAGGAGGCCCAGCCACACTCTCAGCCACCTACCAAGAGAGTCTACACCTGCAGTCACACATGCGCACGCACGGACTGACACAAAGCTTCCCCCTCCTAGGCTTGCCCCTCCCTACACTCACAGACATACGCACGTGCCTCACATGCACCTTCTCAGTCACAAGGTGGCCAGGGGCGACCTTAGGGCTGAATCAAATGCTGGTTAATGCTGCTGCTTTTATTATACCAGAGGTCTTAACATTTATTTGGAGATGAACACAGACTTGGCAGGCCGCCCTGACAGAGGCATGCATTCTCTACAGCGCAGCTTCGGAGCTCAGGGTCCCCACGCACACACATCAGAAGGGCTCTCCAGAGGAGGGAGACAGGGCAACTGTGGCTCCTGGTCCCCTCCATCTGGGCCCACTAACAGTGCTTCCCCATGACGGGAGTCAAGGAGTCTTGTGAGCAGGGCAGGTGTGTCTTAAACAGGTGTGACAAAGGTTCCAGATAGGGGCAAGTTCCTAACACTCAGAGCCAAAGAGGACTTTGGGGTAGGTACAGACACCCCAGACAGGCAGCACTGGCTAAGGGGGGCATGCTTCACACTGCATCTGAGCTAGGGGAAGCTGCCAGGAGCCCGCAGGGTGGGAGTCCTGGAAGAGTAAGACAAGATGGCGCAGTCACAATAAGGCCACTAGACTCACAGCAAAGGAACAAGGACCGCAGAGGACACTCTCCTGACTACAGGGCAGCAGCTCCACCCCAACGGCAGGTGCCCCTCGCTGGTTAGGCACCTGCCCTGAGACCTTCCCACCGGCCTTTCTGAGCTGCGTGACATCACTTAGCACAACGGAGCAGAGGAGGGGGCCACGCGCGTCGCAGCCGTGGAACAGAGCCACCAAGCGTGGCTGAGTTGTTGGCAAATGTCTCAGGTGCCCCCGTGGAGAGCTAATCTGAAAAGAGGCTGGCAAAGGACTTCCTCAAGCTCCGGATGGTCTCCGCTTTGGCTTCATCCTCACTGGCTGAAGACCGGAAGAAGGAGGACTCAGAGAAGCTGAAGGCATTTGTCAGGGACTGCGACTTGCTTGAAGATAAAAACCAGAGAGAAGGTGAGAGGGTGTGTTCCCAGCGAGGCAGGAGGGATGGTGACAGGAGGAGAGAGACATAATGGGGACCCCCACACCCCCCGGGGGACCAGACCAGGTGACAGAGGAGAAAGTCAGCCAAGGATGCATGGCCAGGACCCTGGGGCGACCAGGTGCTATTTGTTCACCTTCAGGAAAGGTTGGGGGCAGCAGGGTTGCAAGGGAGACGGGAAAATGAGAGAAAGAGGGAGAAGGGAAAGAAGGAGGGAACTGGGAAGCCACTTCCCTTATTTAATACCAGAGGGCTAATTTCAGAGCCGCCAAAATCATGAGGACTAATCCAGGACTCTCACACCACAGGCATCTGGGGACTCGCCCTCATTTTCCACCAAGTGGTGGGGTTAGCATCAGAAGACCCTGGGCCAAGCCTGGTTCTGCTTCTCACCCCTCCTGACCTTGGGCGAGCCGTGTGCTTCTCTGCGCCTGGGTTTCTCATCTGTGACATGTAGATGTCTGGTAAAATGACCTCAGACATTTGTGGGTCTTTCTAGGTTGTTTTTTTCCCTCTGATTGCAAAGAAACCTTCAGCTTGGCACAAACACAATGGCTCGGTTGACTGGTTCTTAAGATGGATCTGACCTACCCCATCACCTCCCTCAAAGGGTCCCTGATGTGAAGCATTCGGGGTTCAGGGTGTTGAGGAGCAAAGGGTATATATTGGGGCTTGCATAGGGGTATTAGGCAGTTTTCTAATTAAAATACCCAAGTTGCATACATCTCATCTTAGGGACTGACTTCTCCCTTGAGAGACAAGTGATTCAGAGAGAAAAACTGGGACAGCGAGGAGGTAGAGGGGGGCAGGCCCAGCTCAGCCTGGCCCATCTCCTTCTTGACTTCTATATTCTGGCTCCAGAACCTTCACCTGGTGTCTTAGGACTCCCAGCTCTTCCCTGAACTCTGGGTGCTACCCCGGAAAGTCCCTTCCACAGGTGCACGAGCAGCTTCTCCCCTGCAGTGACTCTGAACAGATGCCCTGCTTTTCATTAGGGCCAGGATGAGCCCCGACACGCAGGCCTCTGGGAGGGGATGCTCCCCTGCACGCATAGGCACTGCCGAGGGCCCTGGCCACAAGCCTCCTACCCAACAGCAGAGGTTCCATTCTACTACTTCAGCCCCAAGATCTAGCCTCAGTGGGCAGACAGGAGAGGTAGGAGACTTGAAAAGTGACATGTGCAAAACAGCTGGGTTAAATAGAGATGGGTTGCAGGAGAGTGCAGCGTCCCCCTGCCAGTGCTGGGAAGCAGGAGTATGTGATGCCCCCCCTCCCGGGTAGGACAACCCGGAGATCAGCCCTCTGGACAATGGAGCCTGAACTCTGGCTTTGCCATCAACGAGGCAAACGGCACTGGGAAAAAAACCGAGTCTCCGCTGACAATGTTTCCTCATCTAAGACGCAATGATGACACAATCTCTAAGGGCTCATTTGAGGCCCCAAATCCAAGAGCCCCCTTCTCCCTCCCTCAAGACTCCCATCACTGGACTCTAAGAAGCTGGGTGGGTGCTGCCCTCCAGCCAAGGCGGCTGCTCCGGCACTAAGTGTGACCGCAGGCTGGTCCGGGGGCACAGGGTCAGCTCTGTCCCTCCTGAGGGCGGTGTCCCAGCTCCAGGGGCCTGTCCTCTGGAATACGATGGTGTGCCAGCAGCTCCAGGGCCACGGCTGGGACTGAGGGCTCCCAGAGGATGGAGTCTGCCACCCCCACCAGAAACCCGCCTCCTCTGACAAAGCTGGAGGGAAGAAATTGAAATGGACTTGACTACTTCCCTTTTCCTTCTGGGCAGCCTTGGCCACCGCACACCCCGGACTGTGAGTCAGAGGCAGGAAAAAGGACTTTTTTAATGAAATTTTGAGAGAAGAAAGAGAGAAAAGAAATGGAAAAAGGAGTGGGAGATAGAATTAAAAAAAAAATCAAACAAAAACCCTGGGTCAGCAGCAGAACAGCACAGGACAGCTGCCTTGGGACCAGCTCCCGGAGGAAGGGAAGGCTCTGAGCAGTCACTAGACCTTAGTCTTTCACTTCCCTCTTTCCTATCCTCCCCAATCATCCCTAACCATTCCCCTCACCAGAAAAACCCCCAAAACCAAAAAAAAAAAAAACCCCACAAAAATAAAGTCTGTAGGAGGCAGGCTGATGGAAGGTGCTTTCTAGCAGCTCTGGAGCCCCAGGCCTGGAGGAGGGGCAGGAAGAGGGGAGGGGGAAGGAGCTGCTGAGTAGTCTCTTACTTGAGCTGTGGGTGAGGCTGGGGCTTCTGTGGTGGAGCAGCCGGGGGTGGCTGGGCCTCTGCCAGGGAGTTGCCGCTGGAAGGTGCATCTCCGTGGGTGGTGGGGCCTCGTGGCCGCTGAGGAGCTGAGGAGGAGGAAGAGGAGGAGGAGGGGGAAGAGGGCAGTGATGACCCAGGGGGGAGCCAGCGTGGAGGCAGCACCTTGCCTAGGGGCTGCATTCCTTGGGGTTACCCAGGGCCCCCTAGATTCAGTACAAGAAAAACTTCATAATTTAACCATATCAAAGGGTTTTCTTATTAGAATCTACATCCCAACGGGTGTGGTTAGTTAATTATCGAAAGGATAAGCTCTATTGCAAGAAGTCACCTGAGGCTCTGAAGGGCTCCATAGAGATTCCCTGGTTACCCTCAGACATCGCCACTACTTGCTCCTCCTAGGGGACACACCCCTCAGTCATAGCAAAAGTGGGGCGCACAGGGAAGAAACTGTGGGGGGCAGCCCAGATCAGAGGGGAGCTGAGAGAAGGCCCCCAAGAGCAGAGGGACCCCACCCGCTTTCCCAGAGGCTCCTTAGGTGCAGGCCGCCCTGTCAGGGTTGACTGGCAGTTCTCAGATCGCACACACAGAGGTGGGCCAAGGCAGTGGCACAGGACTGGGGCTGGAACCAGAAAACCCAAGACCTGTGCAGGCATCAGTGACTCTCAGGTCAAGTCAACAAACTTCTCTGGGTCTCAGTGTTTCTAATCATAAGTGTTAAAAAGTCCTACTTTGAATTTTCTTTCAAGATGGTAATGTGTCAGAGGACCATGGCTCAGAAGGTGCTTTGGGGAGGACTCTGTTACTCTATGATCTTCTGGGAACTGCTTCCCTGGAGCTGGCCTTCCCACTCCAGCCTGCCTATGTGTGAGTGCCCTGAACTCATGCCTGTGACCAGGGTAGCTCTGGTGCTTCCAGCTACTCCTTTACCTCTGAGTACCATCCTTGGGGGGTGCCAGCCTCTCCTAGGTGTGTGTGGTGAAAGTCTCCAGAACTCCAAGTCCCCTTCTTCCCTGGACATGTCGTGGGCACCATCTGGCCAAGTAGAGGCCCCCCGAAAGGATGAAGATGCCCTTCTCCCAGCATGAGAAAGAAAACCACGTGGCAGCCCTCTTTCCAGGGGTGGACAGGCAGACGTGAGCTGCCCTACTGCTCAAAATTCGCCGTGAGGGCGGTTACTACACTTAGGAGTGAACGGCGTCTCCTGGGCACTCAGTGACTAGTGGAAATGTGCAGAATCCCTGGGAGATCCGATCTCTTGGACTCAGTTCCAGAGTCCACACCCACAGGCCTGCTGGCAGGACGCTGACAGAAACTCAACAGCAGCTAAGAGTGGTGTAGTGAGTTAGTTTGCTAGAAGTACCAGAACACCTGTGTCCTCTGGAGAGGCAGAAATGCATGTCTAGGCCACTCTGTACCGGGCTTGTCAGCTTGTCTCCCCACCACACGGTAGACTGCTCTTTACCACCAATCTGTTAGTACCAGGGTTAGTCACAAATAAAGACATACATAAATGAATAAATAACTGGAATTTTCCAAGTTCGAATCAGATAACCAGTGGAGATGATAGACTAGCAGATTATTTCACGTGAACCAGTTTTGCCTTTTCCAAAGTTGGGTACCATTTGTATTGGCGTTTTCTTGTAAAGCACTGCGAGTGGATAGCTCAGCCTCTCATATCACAAGCCCGAGTGCTTTCCCATCTGTACAGAGATGCTTCAAATCGCCAGAAACTTTACAACTTAACACTGAAGACAGATATAACTTTTCCTTTATTGCACATTAAGCTGTACAAGAGAGTCACAAAAGAGAGGTACTTGGATCACACTTCCAGCATTGGCTGAGGTTCTCCCAGCTGGATCGGTACAAAAAAAGGGGGACAACATCAGAAAAGAAATGGGTACAAAACACCTGAACGGCAATCCTGTACTGTGACATGGATGTCCCCCAGGCCACAGAGTTGTCCTTAGCATGCTGCCTGAGGGCTCAGGGTAGTCAGGGTTTGCTGTCTGCTTCCACTGGCCACCTGAGAGACCTTGGCTGGCACCACCCTGGAGCCTAACTGAATTCAAATGGCGACTCTATATTCGTGGCTCACGAATGTCACATGAAAAGCACCTGGATGACCACACTGAAAACATGCAGAGAAGCAACACCACCATCAGCTTGCCACTTGGACAAAAAATTAAATGATTGGGGAAAAAAAAAAATCAATGAAATGCATTCCTTCATTCCAGGAAATGTTGCTTTATGACTTTCTACTGTTTCATCAGACTGAGAGGTATTTAAGGACCTGATTCTCAGGCAACCCGCCCGGAAGTGTGTCAACGCATGTGTGTCTCTATTCACACCAGATCCATCACCGTCACCCAATAAGGGTGGGGTCACTGACGAGAACATCACACTCAATGCGTTTCCCTGTCACCTCAGAATCTGCCAGCAACCAAAGGAGAAACCAGGGCATGCAGCCCTGGACACGTCAATCACGGCACGTGCTACCAACACTGGGAACGCCCCCGACCTGGCAAGCCAGCCGCTGACATGTCAGTGCAGAGTGAGCGGGAATGTCGAAGGTGGGCTGGAAGCATTTCTTCTAAAAGGCAAACTGCCAGCCTGGGCTCCCAAGGTCCGTGGTGCCAGAGGAAGCCACGGGGGCCGTCCCCGGCCTGGCTAGAAGACGGCCAGAGGAGGCACTGAACGTGAGGCCTGGTGCAATGAACCACCTCATCGCCTGCCTGGGAGCCGCGTGGCGGCAGGAAAGAGGCCAATGGCTAAGGGTTCTTCCAGAACCACGGCTGTGCAGCCTCTGCCCCAAACTGGCCTCTCATCCTGGCCAAAGACACCAGCTCTGAGGGAGGATACAGCATTCCCGGGGCTCTGGCCACAGTTGAAGGACAGCAGGAGTCCACCTCCGAGTCCTGTAGGCAGTGCCCCCGCTCAAGGGAAATGGGGGGGTCTTGATTTGGTCTGGTGTAATGATGCCTCGGGAGAGGTCAAGAGCAGGACGGTCAAGGCCTGCTCAGCCTTTAAGCAGCTCCCTGCAGTCTCTGGCTAAAATCTATAAAGAATCATCTCTGCACCTGGGTAAAGCTTTGGGGAATACGAAGCAGCCTCAGTTCCACAGAAGCGCAAATGTGGTCAATTCAGAACCAGCAACAAAGGGGGAACAACGTCAGGGAGACTGAGATCAACACAGAAAATACAAATTCACTTGGATATTGCACATCAGCGGCCCCACTGTGTGTGTGTGTGTGTGTGTATCTACTTTCACAGCTAATTAGCTCATAATAAAACAAGGGATACACTGGGAGGTAAAATACAGAACACATTCCTGGAAATAGCTTGCTCTTGATATTTCATGTCATCACTAAAAACACAAGAGCTCTGCAGGCACAGCCAGCCTGGCCACACAGAGTCAAACTGCACCACAGTCAGCAGATGGAGAGAAAGGTGGATGCCTTCAGAGTCAATGGATGAAGCCACGGAGGTAAGACCCGGGAAGTCTCTTAAACAGCTATCTATTTACCCTAGTCATGCAGAAAGGAAGCAAGAGCACAGTGCATGGGAGGGAGGTCCAGAGCACACTCTGGAGGGAAGCGGGGGCGGGGGGCAGTGTCATCTGCACCTGGGGGGAGGACAGGCGTCGGGGTTTATTTTTGTGGTCTTTGTTTCTCCCCTGTCTGCCCCCCGGTCCTAATTCACCCCACATTATGCAACACTTGAGAAAGTACTACCAAACCACCCAGAAGATAGTCACACTGGACTCGGGAGAGGCACGGTTCTTTTGCACACTGTTGACAGACAGCCCTGGAATCACAAGTTATACAGAGAAACGTAAGTGAGCATTACAAGCACAGACAGGAACAGGCACACGACCGGACAGGGTTGCTGACACTGCATAGGAGGAACACAGTCCAGTCAGCACTGAAAACGCAGAAACGGCACCAATGGGGGGTCTCTTGCCCCCCTTCCCCGCTTTCCTTCCTTTCCTTGTTTGTTTTTGGCTTAAAATTTCTGCTTTGAAAAAATTAACTACCAATTCGCTCTAAGAGGCGTGGACTTGCTTTGGCCCTACTGCAATGCCATTACAGTCGAGAATATACTGTAAACAACCTTGGGGCGCTGGCCGCTGAGGCGGGGTCTTGCTGGAGTCCGGATCCTTAAGAATTCCACTCTGGAAGACAAAAACACAAGAGGTAAGAACGAAACTCCAAGCAGATTCCAAAGCCCTGTGGCTCTGTGGAATCCTCGGCTGTAGTGGGACCCAGCAGGACCTGGCCCAGAGGCTTCTGCTGGTCTAGGGCCCCCTCAAAGGGGCTGTCTGTCAGCCTCTAGGCATAGCAAGGCTGGAGGTGCAGGCAGTATGGGGCGTGGACCCTCTGATGGGCAGGGTGGAGGGTCCCTCACCTCTTATTTCACCCCTTTCATAATTATTCTTGCTAGAAGCTCTGAGTCTTCAAACAACATCTGGCCTCTTCTCTGGAGGCTTCCTGATGCTCAGCCCCCCTGGACTCATAGATCTGACTTTCTAAAGGAAAGGGAAGGTCAACACCAAATATTGGAGATCGAGTTTACGGAACCCTAGACAGGGTCGGGGCTGGACCAGGCAGCCAGACTCCCTTGTCCTGGGGAGTCAGCTCTGGGGCTGTCAGGCATCAGACCCAAGCGGTGGCTGGGCTGGAAGCCACCTTCCCCATAGGGAAGGAGGAAGACCTGGACATTGGCAGAATTGCTCAAGACCAAGCTGTTTCTCCCTCAGGATCACATTTCACCCCCAAGTGCTTCCTCTCCTCCCAGCTGTGATCTGTCTATGCCCCTGCAGGGTCAAAGATAAACATGCCCTCATTTTGTCTAACACTGGGGTGGAAGGCAGGGAGCATGTGGAGCTTGAGTCGGGCACAGGGAGAAGCTCAAGAATGCCCACAGGCAGCCTGGTGTATCAGTGACAATGAAGAGGCCAGGCTGCAAAGTGGGCACGGAAGCGTCAGCACCCCCACTTCCTTACAGTGCTCCTCTCCCCTGTGCCATGCCCCCAGCCCTCCCCTCATATTAAGATGGTTTCTCCCCCATTCACCATTGTCCACAGGCCTCCAATTCTGGCCATCGAGCTCCCCTCCTGCCTATTAAGACCCAATTTCAGCTCCAGCCCCAAGGAAGCAAGGGTAGGACCTTAACCGGGAGCATGGTCAGTTCATAACAGCACTGCCTGAAACTGTCCTGCTGACACGGTTTGGGACAGGAGGAGGAGGGGTCTTTGAAGCCCTTTGTGGCACCACATCAGAGGTGCCCTTCCTGTCTATACCCCCCACCTGTCAGAGATCACCGCCGAAACACCCACACTTGCTTTCCCCTCCTCAGCTCTGAGCTGAGAAGCACTGAAGCACCACACCCCGTACGCCAGCTCAGGCCTTCCCCGTCCAGTCAGCCAGCAAGACTGTCAGCTCTCCCTGGTGGCACCTGTCAGCTCTCACCGCCTTCTCCAGACCAGCCCTGACCAGGCCCGTTTCAATTCTTGCTTTGAGCTTTGGAATCGTCCCCCGGTTCTCCTGTCTCTTCTCGCTCTGTGCGGTACTCTCTGCTCCACATTCTTCATACCTGACACTCTACGAGCCAGTGAACGTGACGGACATTTTTGTGCAGTGTCTCCCTTAAGCCTCACAACAGCCCTACCTGTATCCTGGAGACGCAGGCCAGTTCTAGCCTATCCATGACGTCTCCCCTCTGACTTCTCCTCTCCATTTGACCTCCTCTCTGAAGTCCCATAAAGTGCCCAGCGGACTCACATGGGAAGGGGCACTCACATAGCCAGGCCCTGGGCACAGACTGCGAGTCTTCATCTTTTTTTTATAGAGAGGCATGTTTTCTTTCTTTCTTTCTTTCCTTCTTTCCTTCTTTCCTTCTTTTCTTTCTTTTCTTTCTTTCTTTCTTTTCTTTCTTTCTTTCTTTCTTTCTTTTTGTTTATACAAGCACTGGGTACAGTCAGAAGCGCGGGAGGGTGAGAGAATTCACCAGAGCCAGAGCAGGGAGCAGAGCAGGCAGAAGGACCAAAGTACACTGCTGAGGGGAGCAGCGGGCGGCAGGAGAGGTCTGTGCGCCATGTGGGACCCTCCTCTGGTGGCCGGGGAGCAGCCGGGGATCGAACCGGCGCCGCAGAGGCCGCGGGCAGCTTCGCAACCCAGCGCTCAACCGCTGCGCCACCGGGGAGGCCCAAGTCTTCATCTTTTTGTGAATTCCTAACAAACACAGTGCCTTTCCTGCCCCCACCCCCACCCCACCAAGAATAATTGAGACATGTGGCCTGACATGGGAACTTTTATTAAAAGTTAAAATAGAATCAGGAATATTTTGGGAAATTCAAGATTATTGTCATTTTACCAACATCAAGCACAGGCCCTGAATAAATGCTTGTCAAATAAGCAGATAAACAGCAGTAACAGCGATGAAAGCCAGAAAGGAGTAGAGGGTCAGACTTTTGAGAAAAAAATGTTAAGCCACAGATGTCAAACTCTGTGGTATTTGCTGTCAAGTCTGGTGAGTGGCTCTGAAAAGGCCAGGATTGGGAAGTACACTTGAGACCACAGGTGCCCACAAAGAGGCAGAAATTGTTTCCACCAACTGCCTAACCTGGCCAAGCCAGGGACATGGGGCCAGGAGCTCTTCCCCCACAGTGATCTTTCTCTTTGCCTGGCTGACAGCTGGGCAAGTCTGGGACCAGGAAGTAATGTTTGGCAATGGGCCCACAGGATTCCAGGGCTGCCATTTTACCTGAGTTCCTGACATGGCACAATAGGCTGGGCATCACACACACACACACACACACACACACACACACACACACACACTCCCCAGCCTAGCTACCCAGTAGCAAGTCTTTAAAATTGGACAGCAGAATGTTTGAGGAATTTGCTCCATATCTGCTCCTGCCTCACTTTGTGACCCTGGACTAGTTATCTCACCCTTCTACACCTGCCTTTCTTCAAAAAGGTTTCTGGAATATAAAGTGAGATAATCTATAAGCACCGTCCCTGGTTGGTGCTAGTGAGATGATGTTGACAGTGACAGTGAGGAGGCCTTTTATTTCAAATATCTGTGGCTTCCAAGGTCTGGGACCCATACTGGAACAGCCCCACCACAACTCTTCATGCTCCAAGGCCTGGCTTCAGAGACTGATAGCTGTGATGGTATAGCCTCCCCTGGGCTCCCTGGGAAGCCCTCTGGATCATGGCCCTTCATTGCCCGAGAGGGATACTGCAGCCTCTATGGAAAATGGTATACAGATGCCTCAAAAATCTAAAAATGGAAATTCTACAAGATTCAACAATACCACTTCTACATATTTACCTAAAGAATATAAAAGAAATATGAAAAGATATTCAATTATCATCCACAATAGCCAAGACATGGAAACAGCCTAAATGCCCACTGACAGACAACTGGTTCAAAAAATGGTGTTCCAGGTACTCAACAGACTACTACTCAGCTTTTAGAGCTTCTGGAGACAAAATAGAAAGATCTTCAGGTGATTACGCTAAGTGAAATAAGTCAGAAAGTGAAAGACAATTACTGAATGGTTTCACTCACTTTGGAATATAAATAACCAAATGAAATAGAGTGGCAAAAAACAGTAACAACTCTTAGACTCGTGAAAAATATGGTTATTACCAGAGACGATGGGGGTAGGGAGGAGAAGGTGGGGAATTGGGACAGGGTGTTGACACTGGGGCTTTGTGGAAGGCAAGTGAAGATGTGCACACATTGAAGGGTGAAGTTGTCCTTCCCAAATTCCATAATTAGGTATGCAAATAGCAAATCAAGAACTTTTTTTTAAAAGAATTTTCTATAATAAAAGCAGTGGAAGAGGCTGTCTTGAGAGGTAGGTGTATTCATGCAGAAGTTAGAGAATTACCCAACAGAGATCACAGAGAATATTCCTTCATTAACTAAAGGAGAGAGTAGGGGAATGCTATGCTTCCTTCCCACCCTGAGAAGCTATGATCCTAAAGTTTTAAAAGCCTCTCAATGAAGCTCAGACACTCCCAGGAGGAGCTCACAGCAGAAGCAGACCCCGAAGCCTAGCTCTGGTTTGCCTCAGACCCACAGACATACAAATGAGACACCCCAGGATGAACTGACTCCAGGAGTCCCTTCCAAAAGCTTCAGGGCTGGAGCTCCCAGGAGCAGTCCTCTGGGCTGGGGCCTGGGAATGTGCCTTGGCCACCCTTGTCTGGCGCCTCAGAAGCTTCTCCTGTCCCCAGCTCCACAGAGGTTGTGAAGACTTCCCAGGGATGAGGGGAGGCAGGAGGAGAGTCCCCCAGGACTGTCCCTTGCCGGGCTGAGACGCTCTGGCTCCGCCCACAGCCCTCTGTCTGCTAGGCCGAGGGCCTATTCCCTGTGGGGTTTGGCTACCATGGGATCAGTCTCCAGTCACCAAGAGTCGCCTGGGATGTGGAATTCCACAGAAGTCTGGCTACTCTGGCGTCACTGCCCAAGCCTGGCCTGCAGCCAGCCAGCCACAGGAACTCGTGGCCAAACGGAGCTGCAGATTTCCCTCAGGAAGTTGGGTGGACTCAGCAGGTAGGAATGTGAAGTCCAGTGCTGTGCCCAGCTGTGCAAGCACGCGTGTGCGCACATACACACACACACACACACAGAGGCAATGAATGTCCTTAGAGCAGTGGGAGGAGAAAACCCCAAGTGACCCAGGGTGCACTGCGTGACAACCAGCTGAGTGGCGGAGTCAGCGTGTAAAGCTGCTGCTGACAGTGATGGTGCAGGAGGTCTCAGCACAGGGGGTCATGGTTCCACTGCTTGCTCGGCCAAGCAATCTCCATGCAGAGCACTGCAGCCAGGCCTGGGCCCCTCACTAAGGGGTACATGGGTGGAATGTGATGGATACATGGAGCAGAAGGGTTGAGAACTGTGAAATGAAAACTTTCCTCTAGTGGCTTTGGGTGAGTGTGAGTCTCAGCTTCTCAAACAGGCCAACTATGGGGATTAAATGGGGTCACTGAGGAAGCACCTAGGACTGAACTGAGGATCAGTCAGTCAGATGCAGAGCTGGCCAAAGTCAAAGGCTGGCTTGGGTAGCAGTGAGCTTCCTGGCATTGGCTGTTTTAAGCAGGGCCTGGAAAACTGGCCGGAGAGGTTGTAGAGGGTAGCTTTTATGTGTAGGCA